TTAAAAAATTTTGATTGAATTTGATACAATGGTCGTTGAGACATATTCAAAGTTTTCAAACTTTATAAATAAAAAGTTATTTAAAAAAAGTTTCTACGCATTTTAAAGTTTTTTTTCATGTCGAATTTAGCACTTTTTTTTATATACGATTCATTAACTAAAATCAATATTTATTGTTATTGATATTAAAAATAACTACACAAATTTCTCTGCATTGAATCTATGAATTTAAAGCTTTTCTATCAAATTTAGTATTTAATTTATGAGAAATAATTAAAAACCAATATTTATTGCTAATTATATATTGTATTATAATTATAGAATTTAGCATTTTTATTTTATACATGACTAATTAATATTTATCGTTAATTAATATTAGAATATTTATTATTAATTTCTCTACATTTGATACCGTATAGCACTGCATATAGTACCCCAGGGACTATTTAAGAAAGCCGAATAATACCCCAAACATTAGGAGATAGGAGGATAATGCAAATAATCGTTACTGATCACCATATACCTTACTATTAAATATCTCAAATACAATGAAAAGATCGCACTATTAATTATGAAAAGTGGATTACAAATTGCTTGTCAAAGAAATAGAGAATACTAGGGGGATACTATATGCAGCGTTATACAGTAATATAGTAACAGCTAAACGCATTTAGATATATGCGTCAAATTATAACAGACCAAATTTCTGTGATTCCCATATAAAGTTACATTGGTAAATAAAAATAGAAATATTTAATTTATCGTTATTCACTCTTAGTTACACTATTTCTATATTTAAATAATTGGTTCTTCTTTATTAGACTTACATATATTTAAATTTTATTTTGGCCAATTACCAGAACTTGAAATAGTTATCGTTTTGTTATGAGCGCATTTATATCTAATTGTCGAATTATAAATTTTAGCAGATTCATTTGCATAATATTAAATAACTTTTGTGCATTGTTAATCATTTAATAAAAATAAAAAAGATAGGACTCGAAATAGTTGTCATTTGATTAGATTTTTTTGCCATCAACTATTGAATTGCTTACTGTATCATTCGCTATTTTTTTTTTTGCTTCATTCATTATTTAATAAAAATCTATAAATAAAATTCTAAGTGGTTTTCGTTTGATTAGATTTTTTTTGTCACCCAACTGTTGAATTACTTACTGTATCATTCACTTTTTTTGTTTCATTCATCATTTTTAAAAATAGAACTCTACTAAGTGGTTATCGTTCGATTAGATTTTTTTGCAATCAACTGTTGAATTGCTTACTGTATTGTTTGCTTTTTTTTGTTTCGTTTGTCATTTAATAAAATATAGAAATAGGACTCTACTAAGTGGTTGTCGTTTGTTTAGATATTTTGTTCTTTTTTTTATCCAACTGTTGAATTGATTGCTGTCTCATTCGCTTTTTTTTTCTGTTTTTTTTTTGTTTTAACGTTTTAATTACAATATGGACTAAATAAAAAAAAAAAGTAAAATTAGTATCAATATATGTCAAAAAATATTTAAACCGCTACTTTTGACCTTCAATAAAGTTCAAAAAAAATTTTTAAATTTCTTTAGATTAATTAATAAATCATAAATAGATATACTCAGTATATATTTTTCTTTAGATTAAAGTAATAAAATACAGATATAAATCTAAAAATGAATAGTGAAAATCAAAATATAGAAACCTCGTCAACTTCTGATAAAAAAAAATGTAGCTGCTGTAAATGTATAATTAAAAAAAAGGAGTTTTGTCGTCTACGAGGAGATAATCCACAATATGAGCATTCAACTTGCAATAAATGCTGCAAAAAACAAAAATAATCGAAAAAAAATAGACGTAATCTCCAGCAAAAGAAAACAACTTAAAGCTAATTCAATTGCGGCCACTAATTCAGTTGCAGCTACAAATTCTAATCAAAGTGATCTGTATAATATAGATCTTGATCATGATAGTGATTCTTTTGAAGATTTGCTTCTAT